GAGGGAAGGTTTAAGTTGGACATCAGGAGGTGCTACTTCACGGTCAGGGCGGCTAGGGTCTGGAACCAGCTTCCAAGTGAGGTGGTGCAGGCTCCCACCCTGGGGGTTTTTAAGAGGAGGTTGGATGACCACCTTACTGGGGTCGTTTGACCCCAGTACTCTTTCCTGCCATGGCAGGGGGCAAGACTAGATGATCTGCTCAGGTCCCTTCCGACCCTAGAAGGTATGAAACTATGAAATAAGATCAAGGCATGGCAGGAAAGTAAGCAGGCGGTGGGCCCATTACAGGAGGGCAGAGCCACTCCCGGAAAGGCTCCAATAGTAATATTCCTGTCACAGGGTCATTTTCAACTCTACCACAGTAGTAACATGCTACTATGTAGTAGCTTCTTGCTAGTGTGCAGTAGTGGCAGCACCACTGTTAGTGCTTGTGGATGCTACGTTGCCATAGTGATGATCTACATTGCCCTAGCTCATTGCTACAGTGACATAGCACCTTGTGTAGACATACCCTATAAGTACCAAATATCAGCCCTTTAGAATGCAACTAGTAAAGCAATTAAAATGATATTGATTAATTTATAGTGCTAGTGTATTCATTTTCAAATACCCATTGATACCAAATATTTCTTTTGTCCGTTAGATACCCGTGGTGTTCTTCTAAAGGGTTAAGACTTTCTTTAGATGCTGTCTTCCACAATCTCTGCCTAGTTGGGTACTGATATTTTGAGAGTCTTCATAGGCTATAGTCATAAAAAGCTGATTTTTATATAAGAGCTGCTTTGGATTCCTGGTAAAAGGTATTTAGTCTGGAAAAGAGAGGACTGAAGGGGGATTTGGTAGCAGTTTATCAAATACCTGAAGGATGATTAGAGAGAGGCTGGAGGTAGCTTTCTCTTCGTGGCTGTAGGAAGAAGACTAGGAACAATGGCCTCAAACTGCAGCAATAGGGAATTTAGGTTGGAAATTAGAAAAGACTTTCTGATTACAAGGGTGGTCAGATATTGGAACAGGTTACTTAGGGAAGTTGTAGAATCTCCATCCCTAGAAATTTAAGACCAGGTTAGACAGACACTTGACTGGGATGGTTTAGTTAGAGATGATCCTATTCCGAGCAGGGAGCTGGACTAGATGATGTCATGAGGTCCTTTCCAGCCCCACTTCCTGTGATGACTTTTCATGCAAGGATTTCAAAGTATAAATACTGGGGCTTTTCTGCCCCATTATTTAGGGGAAGATAAACATTGTTATATATTTTGGCAGAATCAAAACAGGAAGTTTAAGTGGATCATCCTAGGTTACACAAATGATTGAGTGGCACAAGTAGGAGCAGAACCATAGAATTCTGATGTACTGATTAACTACACTGACCGTTGATCACGTGTTTGCGTATGTGCAAACAGAGCTGAAAATCCAATGCTTCTGTTAGATATCTGTACAAAAAAACCCCCCCAAAAAAAACCAATCGTATATATTGCAGTTAAATTGTTCCTGGTAATTTTCTTAGCTAAATGGCTTTACATATCAGCTGTCATTTCAATATATTTATTTATGTAACTACATGAAAATAAAATAAGAGTTAGCACTTAACTCTGAAATATCTTGGCAAGAAAAATATTTCAGTACAAGAATTTCACTTACCTTACATAATCAGCAAGGGATTTAATGCTACTTGGAAACCTTTCAGAATCTGGCTAATGCATGCCTTGTGAACCCCCTTGCATTGCAGGGGTTCACATACTCATAACCAAGATCTTTCCATCCATCTTCTTCCATCCTGTCTGCTATACTTTTGATCAGGGGCTCACTGGTAATAAACAAGAGACTGTGTTAACAGGGCTGTTGAAATTTTGTTTTGCTAATATATGTGTGTTACTGGGACCCTGGAGTAGTCAAGAGCTTGTTTTCGTACCTCAATCAAAAAAGATAGCAATTCCAACAAAACAGTGACATGTCACATCTCTTGACCTTAGCCCAACAGTGACTCAGACAGAAAATGAGTAACATTTCGGGTAAGTCTTCAGTGCAATGTGTGTTGAGATATCCAACTTAGCTTGGGAACCACCAAGCCATGCCTAATGATCTTCCCCTGGCTAAATTTTCTCTGCTTCTTGGGTATCTCTGTACTACACAGCAGGCATGTGCAGTCAAGCTCTTGATGCACCAGCACCACTTCCTCCAGCTCCTGATTTTTTTTGGTAAGATTTGATGAGGCCAGTTTAATAGGATGCTAAGGAAAGACAATAGGAATTGATCTTAGACAGACATCACTTACATGGTGCATTGTTAAGACTATTTACCGAGATGTTGCTTTCCAGGTGTTGAAAAGTGTGGCTTTTAGATTAATTAATGAGATTCTAAGAATAATTGTGAACATCCCAATGTTTAGGATACCAGGTGAAATGCTGCAGGATACTCTGGGACTTTTAAAGAAATCTTTTGAAAACTAGATATTTTTTAATGTATGTGACAAAATATACTTGCATAGTATCTTGCCCTGTAACAACTTGATTTGGAGACCTTAGCACTTTAAAGACAGCCCACTATTTTGTATACTTCACAGACTGAAGAACTGGGACTTAGCCAATTAATTTTTATCTTCCACTAGATTCCTTGTCAGGGTTATAGAAGCAAATAATATTTGTTTCCTTGGTAACTACAGTGCAAATGTTACCAAGTTCATCATAAAACATTTATTGTTCTCAGAATTACAGGAAAGTTCTCTGACCTTAGCAAAGCATGAAAACATTTGAAATATTTTGCCTTTTTAAAAAGTGTAAGTTTTAACCTAGTTTATAAGCTTGTATTTGTAAGCACAAAACAAGAAAGACAACTCTCTCCCTCAGTTAGCTGAAATGGGCTTTTGGCAGTGAACTTTCTGTTCAAATGGTAGAAATAGTTCTCCTAACGTTTCTGGGTTGCTTCTGTTCTAATTCTAGCTCTGTACATAAACATTACTCTGTCACAGAAATCTAAAGTTTCCAAATTCCTCTTTCAAATAAATCTTGGTAATCTTCCAAAGTGGCAGAAATGAAGTTCTGTTTTGCCTGCCTCAAATACCAACCAGGAAACAGAATGGTCTAGAAAGTTCACGCAGGCAAGATGAAGAATAAAAAGCAGTATATGTAACAGGGACTATTATATAAATATTGCATTATAATGTAGCAGACTCCCAATATGGGCTCACCAGATTGATTTGAGATACTTACCCTGGGGAAGAAGCAGTGCTGGTGAACTCTGAGCGACCCAAGGGTGAAGCGGGGAGCCCTGCCCTGTGGAAAAGGAGAAGTAAATTGAAAGAAGGGGTTTTCAATCCCCTCATTCGCATGGAAGGGGGATGTCTGGGTTGGGGGCCAGCCACCCTGAGCCCTGGATGGCTGGTTTGCAAAACAGGGTGGGACTGCCGGAGGGGATAAAAGCAGCAGCCGAACTGGCACATGGGGGCTGCTGACAGTGACTCCAGGAATGACAAAGGAGGCCTAAGAAGAGCTGGGATGAGCTGACCCAGCAGAGGGAGCAGAGAGACCCCTCTGAAGAGCCTCGAAGGCAGCGGCGGTCGGCCGTGCCTCCAGCCCTGCAGCAGAGAGGGAGCCGCGGCCAGGGCTTGGGGCAGAGAGCTGGTGCCCCGAGGCCCCATCTCAGTGTGCTGGACATGCCGGGCATCCCCGAGGCTAGGGGTGGCAGTCAGCCCCTCGCTCCACTGCGGAGAAGCAACAGCAACCAGGAGCGTAGGTGGCATCCTTATCCAGAGCAGGGAGCTGGGCTGGTGAACTGAGGAAGCCTCTTGCCTTCCTTGGGGAAATGGGACAGCAGCAGGCAAGGCATTGGGATCCTGAGGAGCAGCAGAGCCCCAGGACGAGAGAGTCTCCTGGAGCTCGGGGTGCAGGCCTGCACTTGAAGTGGGATTAGCGAGCTGTGAGGCGTGTGGGGGGCCTGGCTAGTCATCTAGAGCAGGGGTTTAGAGTAGCTACCCCTGGAAGTTGCTTGTGCTGCTGACTCTGCCACTTTTGCTTGCTTGCCTTTTCTGTTGCCACAGAAGGTCACCCTTCAGCCTCTTTGGGGTGTTGGGGTTTGATACAATTTGGACTGCTGCAGATCAAAAGAGCTTAACCTGTTGCAGTCTGTTGCTTACTGGGAAAGCTGTTGGAGCTGCTTGAAGCAAGCACCCTGCTTCCTTGCTGTAGCATCTCAGCAGTGCCTGAAAGCTGCCAGTTACTCGACCTGTGGTTCTTGAGTCAAGGGCTGACTAATGCATTCTGGTTTGTTTTGCCATTTAAGTTCACTTGTAACTAATCTTTCCTATTATTCTTGTTTTGTAAATAGAGTGTAAATAGTTAACTCAGTTAAGTGTTAGACCCTCTTGGGACCACGGGCTGCTCAGAGGAGCAGGGGCCAGCTGGAAAGTAAATTGGTGCTGGCCAGAAGCCCTGCCCTACTCTCACCGCACCATCCCTGATATTTGGGCAGAGGTGGCAACTACTAGGCCGCCACCTGGGTTACAATAAGAAAGCGAGATAGGGGAAACAGCATACTACAAGCATTCTTTGCTTAAGAGAATCCATTGAAGGAATGGGAAGAAAAGACAAACACCTTCAGTAAGCGCAAGCCGCATTGTTAATATACGCTGCAGAGCTGTGCAAAGCTTCGACTTAATATTCGATTCAACAAATATTCGGCATATTCAACCTTTAAAAGTGAAAGTCGAGCTGAATAGCAGCTGGTCAAATAGCTGTCAAATTGAATACTGGAAGTCTAATATTAACAGTGCGAGTCGAATATTTGACTTGCCTATACTGGATTCCCAGGGGGGGAAAGGAGTGCTTTCATGACTGACATGTGTGGCTGGCCAGTGACCTGTCAGCATTCTGAGGTCCCTTCCAATCCCAGTGCTCTGGGGGAGGGCCAGAGAAAAATGCATAAAAAAAGGCAGCAGTTTTTCAGCTCCCCTGCTTTCTGCCTTGGGATCAGTTTCTGAGCTGCTGGTGTTCTCCAGAACCTGTGTCAGACCACGACAGCTGGAAGCCCTGATCTTCAACAGATTCCCTGCTTGCAATGCTAGTAACAGGGATTTCTGAGAACTTGGTGCTTTTATTTTACAAAAACTTTTCATATTAGTTTACGCTTATATTGGATAGGTTTAGTAGCCTAGGATCTATTCTATGTGTGCGCGCGCATGCATGCGCCCCATTCATTCTTTCCCCCACACCAACGCGTTTCAATATATTTCTCTCTCTCTCTCTCTCTCTCTCTCTCTAGAAGTCTAATCCATGGCACACAGCACACTTAGAGGTTCCAGTTTACATACAAAGGCACAGATTATGAAGTGGGGTGGAAAGGCAGGTGGCCACACTGGCCAGCCTGCACAAAGGGGAGCAAGGGGGGTTGCAAGTGGGAGAGCTGCAGTTTCTCCCACCACCAAACTCAGACGCAGCCTCTTTTCTCCCGCTACAAGGGATGAGGCTGCTATAAGCAGTAAAGAGAGGGGAGCAGCAGTGTCACCAAAGCCACTGCCTATGCCTGAGACTCATGTCCAGACACATGAGCCACAACCTCTCCCCCCATAACTGCAACCAGCACAGCAGCACACTCCACCCCTGTGTCACTGCCTATGCTGAGCCTTCCTGCACCAGAAGAGCTGGCGCTGGATCTGGATCTGTGCCCTGGCAAGGGAAGTTCGGGAGGGGGGGGGAATATCAGTTGAGTTTGTGCTTGACACCCCTCAGGTTTTTTCTTTTCAAGCCATGAAGTCTTTCCCAGAAGGCACTTCAGAAGGTGCCTCTGTACAGGTGAAGGCAAGCAGCTCAGCCGAGTCTGCTCTTCCTCTTACTGTGCCTCTGACTGCTGAAGAGGGGGAGAGTTCAGCAGCGTCCACAGACGCACCCGCACACCAGAGGGAAAGGCCTACTACTAGCATGGTCTGGGATCATTATGAGCTGGCAGATGATCCTGCGTTTGATCTGCATGCACTGCCGAGCCAAAAAAAAAAACAGCCAGGGCAAGAGAACAAAGCGCATGACCGCCTTGGGGATGTTGAATCATCTCCGCAGGTGCCACCCCTTGGCCACAGAAAGGGCCCTCGCTTGCTCCACAGCCCCCATCCCCCCACAGCAGAGGCA